ATGACTTTGATAATAGAACCGTGCAGGAAAACTGGAATCTGTTCGTTAACAAAATCTAAGAACTAACTCGCACCTTTATTCCCTTTGTTTCCTTCGGAAGTCTATACCTGTGAGCTCTTGCTCACCCTGGTACAATACATACTTAAAGCGACTTTCTAACAAAAAGAAACGCTTGTTTCGTGCTGCGAAACTCCAGAGTCGGGAGGAATGCTGGTGCACCTACGAGTGTGCTGGGCGAATTTACTCGTCAGAAGTTTCGGATGCTAAGGCTACATTTCTATCTAACATTCTGCCATCAATGCTTGTTAGCAACCCTAGGATGCTTTGGAAAACTATTAAAAATACCAACGACAATGAAATTGTACTTGTTGACGCGGACGGCCTTCCCATGTCTTCCTAAATGTGTGCAGAACGTCTGAACAAAAATTTTGTCCGGAACTTTTCAGTATCGTCCTTTTCTGCTACCGTCTCTTTACCAGCACGCAACTATCCATCAACATCTGTTATAGTGATTGAGGCTCATGGAATTGTGAATGTAATTGAATCACTCAGAGTGTCCTCTGCTTGTGGTGTTGACAATATAAACGCATGAATCCTTAAAGGAACTAAGAATGCCTCGTCTATGTTCTTGTGTATAATATTCCAACAGTCTTTGAATGAAGGTGTGGTGCCACGCGTTTGGAAAGAGGCAAAAGCGGTTCTGCTACACAAGTTAGGAAACAAGCATTCTGTCAACAATTACTGACCTATTTCACTTACTTCTATGTCATGCAAAGTTTTGGAGCACATAATCTTCTCTAACTTGGTCACTTTTCTAATATCAAATTTGTTCTTTAGCACGTCACAGCATGGATTTAGGAAGTCATTCTCTTGTGAAACACAGTTGCTTTGTTTTACTCAATCGTTACATATTATCCTAAATCGCAGTTCACTGGTCAAATGCAGTTTTTTCAGAATTTTCAAAGGCTTTTGACAAGATTATTCATCACCTACTACTATATAAGCTTAGGACCCTTAATATTGATGGCGGCATTCTTGCTTGGATCGGGTTTTTTTAATCGCTCACAATTCGTTGTTGCTAAGAACTACAGCTCACCCTCTTCTCCCGTTACTTCAGTTGTGCCCCAGTGTTTAGTGTTGGGGCCTTTACTATTCCTTACTTATATTACTGATTTACCCGATGTTATAACTTCTTCGATTCACCTTTCCGCAGACGACTGCGTTGTTTATCTAGAAATTTCATCTTACTCTGACGCTAGTTCTTTGCAAAGTGACATTATTAATATTGCCAGCTGGTGTAGAACTTGTCACATGGATCTCAACACTAACAAATGTAAAGTTTTACGTATCTCACAAACTACCGGGCCCCGTGCTAACCACTACCTAAATGACGCTGATCTGGAGTCTGTAACTTCGTATAAATACCTGGGAATTCATATGACATCTGACTCCAACTAGAAGCATCATATTGACTATGTTAATAACAATAGCAACCGTATGCTAGGGTACCTACGACGCAACTCTAGCCGTGCCCCTCAAGCCGTGAAACTAGCAATGTATAAAACACTAGTTCGTGCAAAACTCAAATATGTATGCTCCATTGGGGACCCTTTTAAACTGAACTTAAATAATTCGCTTAAAATGGTACAGAATAACGCAGCATGCTTCATTCTAACTAGCATCGCACTAGCTGTGTTAGGTGAACGAAACACATCTTTTTGCTACAGTCACTTGAATCACGCCGCAAAGCATTTCATCTCATACTTTTTCACAAGATAATCAATCATCCACTTTTGAAAGCTCAGTTCATAATCACCCCATCCTATCACTAAGCCCGTTCAGATCATCAACATAAGGTACACGTCATTAGCTGCCGCACTAACACTTTCCATCATTCCTTCATCCCACGCACATCCAGCGACTGGAAGCACCTTCCTTCGGACATCGTTTCTATTTCAAATCATGACTTGTTTCCTTCTACAATACAGAGGTACTTACGTGATCATGCGTGAAGTGTATATTGTACTTATATATTATTGTGCTCAGTTTCTCCGATGTTTCTGATGACACACATACAATCAGTGAATTACCTAACACTGAATTTGCATGTCTTGTAATCTTTATTATTTTGAGGTTGCTATGTTTGCTCTTATTTATAGTTTATTTTTGTATCCCACTACTCTCTGTAAAGCTATGTGCGATTGAGGGTAAAATAAATGAAATGAAATTAAATAAAATGAAATTAATAGCTCAAGTGGTATCTTCTCAGTACCAAGCACATGTTAAGAAATGCCTTCAAGAGGCCTTAAGCTACGTTCCCGGGCACTCTGAAAAGCAAAAACTAATAATCTGACGAAAAAACAGCAGTGTATGGCCACCTCTTAGGCCACCTTATAATTTCGCTCCGAACTGTAGGATGGGCATTTTTAAGTAGTGACTCGTGAGTGGCCAGCCGCCTATTGTGTGTTAGAAAATTTGAATGCTCCTTCTGACCGCCTTGCACGGTGCAGAGAATAACCCATTGCAGTGGGTAGAGGTAATGCTGACTCACGCTGTTCATTGGCCAACTCGTATTTATAGGCAACAGAGCTGGGACTTTAAGGTTGTGCCAGTGGGAGATTTCTCCTTCCATTGTAGAACAATAAAAAATGGCAGCATGCCCGTTAAAGGAAAACTAAAGCCAAACAACAATTCACGTATGAGTGAAAGTCCAATGTATGACAACATTTAAGATGACAATATTATCAACAGCATTGCCCTAATTACCAAGAAGTTAAGGTGAATCTACAATAAGTCAAGTGCCACAGTAGGAAATTTTCAAGATGATACCACTGACATCAAATGAACCACCTATAGTAATAACTAGCAATCCATCTAGCTGCACTAAGTAAAGAACCTTCTACGCATCGAGAGACGTATTTCGTGGAAAAAAAGAACTGCCGAACGTTACTATAGAGATTGGCGCGAGTGATAGGTCCTTGTGGTCAGATTTGGTTGCAGGTTAAGAACCCCAAGTGGTTGAAATTTCCTGAATCCTGCACTGCGGCATCTCTCACAATCATATAGTAGTTTCGAAATGTTAAACCCCATATATCATCATCATGATCGCATCATGGTTGGAAGACGTAAAAACTCAATATTCATTTGTCAGATGACGCACAGTACGTAAGTACTCTCGTTGATGGTCGAGCTTACCCAATCACCAGCGTTTACGGTGCTAGGTAAGAACACAAGACGTGTTCTGAGAATGATGAGATAATTGAAGGCCGATGCCACAATAAGAGTACAACGCGCTTTGTCTCTACTTTGAGTGACACAGCTTTCAGGGCACATGTTAGCCCATTAATGAGTTTCATCTCTACTGAAGCCACTCCCACCCGCTTTATCCAGTCACCAGTAAAAGTGACTATACTAGAGCTCTGGGATGTTCCTGGGGTGCACATGTTATCTTGATAAAAAATAGTTGTCGCTAGTTATACAGTATATATATGCAAACGTTTAACAACAGCGGATAACATTATGCAAAGTAAAAGAGCCTTATGTGTTCTACGTGGGTCTATATACACAGTGTGCTACAAGAATCGCTAACAGTGTTCTAGCTGATGTACAAAGGGGATTCAGTGATTGAAATCAATTGGTTATGAACACAGTGATACGGCATGCTGGTATCAGACCACTTACCATCAGACGGCACGCCACTTACAACCAGACAACAGCCCTCCCTTAGCTGTCACATCTACATTATCCCTCATTCTGTGTGTGTGGAGCGGTGAAAATGTCAAATTATTTGGCCAACCTACCTTTTCAATTTCAGCTCAGTTATTAAAATTATTTTAAGAGCAAATAAAGAAATAGTTTCTGCAAGGGCTTTTTGCTTATCTGTTTTCTCGACCAAAGAAAAACGAAACTCATCTTCCTGGCGGGCTCTATTTCTTTCTAACATTCACTCCGCTTCCGACCAAAAATTATTTGTAACAAATTTGAAATAGCACTCCTGAATATTTGCTTTCGTCGGGAGCATTAGCATATGATTAGATTATTCTGAATATTTAGTACGTCCACACTTTAAACTGTGTTGCATTTGAAGGAACACAGTAACATTACTATTTGATGTCATTTGCTGCTTTTTATTTCGCACCTTATAACATCATGTAAATCGATCTCACACACTTTGATTGACTTCACTTTAAAAGCATCCAAAGCGAGCTGTACTCCAAATGCTTCATGGTTAGAAAAATCACGTTTTGAAGCTTTTTGCATCACAGTGCTCGAAAATGTGTGTAGTTTTATTCAGTTTTAGCATAATCCTGAAATAGTTTTGCTGTTGGTGGGGTGAACGGCAGGTATTATCGCGCTTTCTTACAATGATGTTCAGCTGATATCACCCGAAGCAAGAGCATGAGTCACCCGAGTAACCTAAATAGCGGCACAGTCACATGAAACTTCGTTGTGTATCATGTGACCCACTTAGAAGTTGTACCGGTTAGAATTTTCTTATTTCGCAAAACTCTTCACGAGCACCTTCTCATTAGAATATTTTCATTCTTCTGCAGAGAGAGAGGCTATTGTCCTAGAGCTGAGGGTTATGTTCCACCAAAGGCGTCACCATATTTCGTTAAAGAGGTCGTACTCATGGTGGATCAGGCCTACTTGACAAAAGTCACGTATACGTTTCTCTTAGGGCGTACTATCACAATACCGTACATCACTTTGAATTAAGTGAATTAAGTTTCTGAGAGTTGTGTATGACTTTTATACGAGAAATTCAAAAGCTGTATTTCACGTAAAAGTTACCCACCATAAAATAACATAGAATAACGAGTGCTATGTGGAAGATTACACGAATACTTTAGGTTTATACTAATATGTTTCAGCCTCCTTTTTGCTCCTCTAATGAAGAAAAAAACTCGCCATATTCTAAGTGAGCAGAAGCACACAATTTGCTAATTTTGGTACAATTTATTATTGTTTGCAGTGTAGAGAGAAGTAACAGCACTTACAATTCCTGCAGGCGTGCGCAAGGTTGGTTGAAAGCATGAGGTTTGGGCGTCTGCAAGAAAATATCCAAGACAGCATGGACCGTATTCACACACCTTTCTCTTGGCTGCGCATTTTTAGCAAAAGAATTCTGTTATCTCGAGGAAGTACAATGGCAATGGCACAATTTTAGCTTACTTGGCAGATTTGAGGGCAAGTAGTACGCACGAAAGCCGATGAAACGACAAGAAAAGATTTTAAATGTGCGCATGAAGGGAACGTAGCACGCAAAGCGATGATTGATTGATATGTGGGGTTTAACGTCCAAAACCACCATATGGTTATGAGAGACACTGTAGGGGAGGACTCCGAAATTTCAACCACCTGGGGTTATTTAACTTGAACCCAAATGTGAGCACACACGCCTACAATATTTTCGCCTCTATGTAAAACGCAGCCGCCGCAGCCGGGATTCGATCCCGCGACCTGCGGGTTTGCAGCCAAGTACCTTATTCACCAGACCAGCGTGGCGGGGCGAGCAAGGGCCAAGCATGGAGAGTATGCGGCGATAGCCAATGGTTTGATGCCTCTCAGCTTGCAGTTCCTCGGCCGTCTGCTGCAGTGCTTACGCACTGGCGAGAAATAATAGACGCTCGGGTGTTCAGCGCAAGGCCAAGTCCTCTTGTTTCATCAATGACCGTAGCTAAAAAATTATTCGCTCGATGGCTTTAGGCAATAATATCCAGACGTAAAAGGTTGCGTTTCTTAGCATAATATTAGTGCAAGATACAGGAGTGGCTTTTGTGCTTGCGGACCAATTCTGCAGAAATATAAAACAGCAGTAACAAAATAGTATGGCAACAACAATGTCACAGGTCCCATGCACCACAGCCTTTTTATAGAGCCCGAATGCGAGAACATGCATACGCTTACGCTTAGGTATGTGTTTACGTAAAACGAGGGACACTCGTCGAGAGGTGTTCAGTGGTAGTGCTTTTCAGAAAAACGCTGCAGTAAAATCATCTTGTGGTGTTTGCGTGAACAAACATAAAACAACCGACGTTCGCGCATCTTCAATTGAACGTATATTACCACATATATTACAACAAACATTACCGCAAGTGATAATACCGCATCATACCACCCGTCCCACCTCTCTCCAGATATTGGCGCAGATTGGCATAGCTGGTACCAAATCATCACCATACGACCTCCCACTGAAAGGCACACCTCAGGGCTCCATCTTGTCTCCATTTTTATTCAATATCGGCCTCCGGAAACTAGTCCTCCAACTGGAGACTGTACCAAACCTGGGCTGTGCCTTTTACGCGGACGATATTACGCTATGAGCAACAAAGGGCTCCTATGGAGAACGACAAGATGTACTGCAAACCGCTATAGACATGATTCAAGGCTACCTCACTGCTGCAGGCATGTTGTGCGCACCTAGCAAATCGGAATATTTGCAAATAAGACACCCACGCACTCGGTCCAACCGTGCACCCGCGCTGCAGCTAGAAATTGCCGGACAGATCATCAACAGGACCCCAGTAGCTCGAATATTAGGCATGCACGTGCAAGAAAACAACAGCGTAAAGACTGCAATAGGCCAACTCAAACACACCGTAAAGAGTATTGCATCCCTTATAGCTAGAATTGCGCGAAGTAATGATGGGATGACAGAGGCCGACACGGTACGCCTTGTACATGCCTTCGTTCTCAGCCGAGTCACGTTCGCTCTTCTCTTTCATTCAACACGCAAGCCCGAAATAGAGCAGATTGACAGACTCATCAGAATTGCGTACAAAGCAGCATTGCGACTTCCCAACAGCACAAGCACAGAAAAACTCATGGGACTCGGCATGCATAATACGTATGAAGAATTGGCCGCCGCCACGCTAATCGCACAGCGAGAACGACTCACCACTACGCTCCAGGAAAGAGCACTGCTACAGAGGCTGGGATACCCTCTCACCCCTCAATATTGTGGCGATGAGACAGTCATTGTACCCAAGCAAATACGTGATCAAATAATCGTGGAACCAGTTCCAAAAAACATGCACCCGCTCTACAACAAAAAGCGCCGTCAAGCACGAGCACGAAAACTCCTGCAGAGAAGTAGCGATCCAGACGCTTACTTTACCGACGTCAGTCTTTATCCCGCGCCACCACAAGGCTCCAGAAAACAAGCATATGCATTGGCAGTGACTAACCAAAACAAAGTCGTGGCCTGCGCGTCCCTACGCACCAGATCAAGTGCCACCGCAGAGGCAGCAGCCATAGCCTTGGCAATCAGAGAAGCCGAAAGAAGGGGGCGCTCAGCGTATATTTTGACAGACTCACAAGCTGCATGTCGCTTATACCTTAGAGGCACACTTCCAAGGTGCGTCACTGATATTTTGGGGTCCATGTTGATGGATGCACATGGCGTCACTTGGTGCCCAGGGCATGACGGCCTGGGGGGGAACGAGGAGGCAAACTGCGTAGCTCGCGGACTTACTTGCCGAAACGCAGGACTCTCCTCAGGACACCTCACAGGGCATCATGAAGAGCAAAGTGTAACAAGCAGGCAGGTATTGGAAAACCAACGCCTTACAAGACGCACGTACGCCCCTCCACATCCGAACTTAAGCAGCCAACAAGCCCGGGATTGGCGCCGCCTCCAAACGAACACATACCCCCACATACCAAAACTACACGCAATTTTTCCACAGATATACAAAACAGGGGTATGCCCATGGTGTAGTAACCACACAGCCACACTTACACACATAACCTACCAATGTACCGAGCGGCCAGCCAATGCAGTATCTATGTTGGTGCGCTCACTACAAACACTCACAACGTAGTCTTGGGAGGCACGGCTTTCCGAGCTGGCACTGGGGAGCCAACTGGTGACCCTAGACCAGGCCCGGCAAGCCACTTTGGCCAGTGGGGCTCTACAAGAGGGCTCCACCCGGGATTAGTCACGTAATTTTCATTCTTCAATAAAGTTTATTCTCCAGATATTGGCACAAAGAAGCCGCGAGCGGATGGGTGCGCTCGCTGCGCGTCTCGAAAATTTCGCGGCACAGACGGTGGACATCACGTCACTGCTTCCTGCGCGATCGCGCCGATGGATGGGAAGTCATCGCGACATGCTTTCCGCCAGCTTGCGCATACCTTTCCCCATAGAGTTTCCTAAAATTAACTATAGGAAAATATGGCACTGCGATTGTTCAGCGATCATGGGAATGATAGGTAGTACGTACGTGCGGGTGGTGAATCGTACTTGCGGCTTCGGTTATAGCTGATTACAGTTTTTGTTTTGAAAAAAAAATCGAACCCTTTTGAACTTTGTGACCTGATTCAAAATTGCAAGCCTAAATGAATAAGGTTGTAGCGGCGAGAGAAGAGAGACGTGAGACGGCGTCGAAGGTGGCAGACGGTGCCGTGCTGATCTCGCCGGCAATGTGGGCTAGTCATGTGCACGGCAAGTGGTTGGCCCTTGCGTCGGGAAAACCTCGTAGGTGTTTGCGCCGTCTTGAAGGCCAAGGCTGCAACACATGACTGTTTAGCAAGAGGCTTGAAAAAGGGCCTCTCTGTACTATGCCGAACGTGACGACTTCGTTGGCATACTATCAAGGGCGGCAGTAATGCAGTTGGACCGCACGTCGTCGCTGTTGTTACCAACGAGCCTGTGTGGCGGACTGCATCCGGCGCCAAATGCTCTGGGGAATAGTTGTGAAGACGTGAGCTTTGATGGAGGATCGGGTGGCACACCTGAAAGACCATCGGTTCTCCGCGCATGAAGGTTGGTGTGCAAGTCTGCATGATCGATGACAACCTCTACAGCACGTGTGGCATATGTAGTCTGCAGTGCCATAGGCGCGCCAGGTACGTCGTCCTCAGCTGCGTCAGTCATAGTCGCAGCCTCTCGGAAGTTTGGCTGTGGTTGACGGCTTATGACTCTAACTTCGGCTGCGGGAGACTGCGGGGCTGAAGATGGTCGCTGCTGGCAGGACTTAGAGAGCGTCGAGGTGGGTGGGGAGGCGCCTTCAGACATCGTCGACGCTGGTCTCCGCGACCAAGGGGCGAATAGTGAGCGTGAGAATATCCGTAGTCTTGGCAGACTCCGGGGCATGCGGTGATGAAGCCGTCGTGGAGTCTGACATGTCTGAGAAATCGTGGTCTGTGTAGGCCGGAGAAGACATGTGGGTGGCGAGAGTGCCCGAGGGACAATCGGCCGAGGACTTCGAAAAGATGCACCTCGTGGCGACCCGGTCGTTGGCTGCAGGAACGTATTGAAGAAGCTCGTTGGATTTCGTGGCTGACTGGTCGCGTGCAGCACGAATGTTCTGAACCTCGTCGGATGGGCATTCGTACGCGGGAATCGCGTTGATAGCGGCCGGACGAGATGTTGTAGGAGACGTAGTCGGGGAAGTTAGGTCCCGGTCAGTGAAGACTTTCGGGCCGGAGGGTACCGCACGCTTCGACGCAGACGAAACCTGTAAGTCGCGGGTGAACGGCAGCGGGTGGTAGGTGAGGCCATAGCTGGCAAGCACCGCAGAGCAGAGGTCATCGTAAGGCTGATGGCTGGAGGTTGAAGTGCCAGAGAGATGACGCAACTCTACCGGAAGGGCGTCTTGAAGAATGGCGTGCATCAGCGGCTGGTTCGTGACGCCATTCAACGCCAGAACGGCATCGAGCTGCATGAACCATACCTTGGGGTAGGTCGATTGAAACGGCGGCACTGGCGGGCAGAGTTGCGGGAACATGGCAGCGGGCCGCTCGGCGAAGGGCGTGTTCTCCGGGTCACCAATGTTGCGGCGAGAGAAGAGAGACGTGAGACGGCGTCGAAGGTGGCAGACGGGGCCGTGCTGATCTCGCAACTTTATTCCACGCCTGAAGCGGAGCCGCGGTGGCTGTCCACGTCGGACGCGCCAGGTGCGTGAGCTCGTTCTAATCCTCGCGCAGCTCGAGCTAGCACCAGCTGCGCGAGAGGCGCGGCGCGGTGATTGAGAAATGATGATGGTGATGATGGCACTACAAGGTTGTGAAGCCCAAACGCTGAATATTGGCTATTTTTTCCGT